ATGTTGAAACTCATGGACACCATTATTATGAAGTAGGTGACTGCGCTTCGAATATTACCGTTGGCCCAGTCCTGGAAAAAATTATCGATGTTAGTTGAATGAATTTTCTTTATACCATCTGGATTGTAGAATCTGAGGAAGAACTAGAATAGTAATATCATTTTAAATGGGAAATTTTAAATTGGAAAAATATTTCAATTATGCTGATACTACACAGATACAAATTATTTGGAATAAAATAAGAAATGATAGAGTAAAAGACTCCAACTTGGTAAGCCTCAATATTGAATTAAATTATAGAAACGCACAAGGAACACAGACACACGACATCTACATCTTTCATCTCTACATACTGTGATGATATAGTATCCAAGCATGGATATGTCAAGTTTGCTTTTCAATAGTTCCAAGAAGCAGAATTCAGTCATCACATTCTCGATATCTGCCATAAAACTGCAGCCAATATGCACATGAAAATACCCGCATGAAAATCCCTTCCAAAGATCTAGAAATATATCCTACCTCAGCACTTTGAGATGACCCTCGATGATCTCACCCATATTGTTAAACCCATCGTTGTTCTTCTGATCTTTCGGCCGATTTACAAATTCGTTGATCGATGTCATCAAAATGGTCAATTGGCCACACGCGTGAGCCGCGAACACGGCACCGATGCCAATAGCGCCAACAGCGCTCGAATTCACGATAAATCCAGACAGAAATTGCGTAGCGAGAACTATTTCGTACGTCGGACTAGTATGAACTGGAATTAAATTTTTATACACAGTACAGGGTAACGCACGAATGATTTTCGTTTGATTTCTGACAATGATGGTCTGCGTGATGAACGGTGTCGCTATGCAGTACATCAGGACGCCACTTTGCATGAAAGCAGCGCAAAAAACAGCGACGAAACGCCCGATTTTGGCGTATTTCATCATCACACTTAAATCTTCTGGTCTTCTTACTGCTTTCCAGTCAGTTTGCATATGACGGATGCAATACTGAATGTCTCTGCTTCGCAGCAGTAAATTGGTGTAGTTGATGCCACCAATAAACCAGTGACTGAGAGGACCGAACGTCCTCAGCTTTATGTCAATAGTTTCATCTTCGAGAATAAGATGGACTATACAAGGGATCACAGTGAATAATATGAGGCCATAACAGAGAATGACTAGAATAAACGAAATAATACTGTCGTATCTCGATGTTGATGTGAACGTTGGCCAGGCACCTATTGGTTTTA